AGGGTCTAAATGGGGTTAACTGACAACTGACAAACGGCCTTAAAAATAACTGTTAACTGACAAATAACGATTTTTTTAACTGTTTACTGACAAGTAAAACTTTACTGTTAACTGACAATTGAAGTTTGATTGGACTTTTTTCCATACTTCGGTGACTCTTTGATCAGGAGCAAATTAGAAATCTGAATAAAAGATCGAATTAATCGCCATAAAACACATAAAATTCGTGAAAGTCAGAAAAACGACTAATTACCCAAACAGAATTTGGCAAGTTAATTATTAACTGTGTTTAACTGACACGCCAAAATATTAACTGATAGCTGACAAACAAGCTAAATTTTAACTGACAACTGACATGCACAACCCCCCATTCAGACCCTCTTATAACATGTAATACTACAGATATACTCGATAAATGTATAGTGTTCTATACTGAATTCTACAGATCCGCAGACGTAGGTAAACAATAATTGCATGTCTAGTGACTAGTGTTTCTAAGCAGGGCATTTTTAAAGAATTTGTCAGTGGGGGGTGGCATCTACAAAAAGGGACCATACTATACCGATTGTGGAGAAATGATAGATGGTTTGTTGGTAACAAAAAGTTTGGTGTGGTATCGCATTTAATAGTAGGGAGGGGGGGGGAACTGGAGGTATTCTCCTCCAGAAAATATTTGTATTTTTCTATCCCTATGACTGCAATTCCCTGCATTTTCTGAAACAGATTTTTGGATATACAGCATTTATATATTATGCTGTAGATAGACTGAACCTTCAGTTATGTACTTGCATAGTATGTTTATGCAGGGGTCATCCTAAGAAAATTTTAGAACTGCCCATTTCGACAAGAACAGAGGTAGTGAACACAGGCTAACTATGTGGCAGACAAGGTTCATGCATTAATCACTGCGCCAGAAACTCCCCTTCAATGAGACATTTTTGCCATGGCAAAGATGGATTTACTTTTGCTTAAATATCCTGTATAGATGCTTAATGTATAATTAATTTTCATATAAAGCTCAAAAACTGGATTTCAGAACTGCCCATTTTAAGTTTTACAATTACCCATTTTACATTTACTGTAGAACTACCCATTTTAACTAAGCTTGATAAACTTAGAGGGCCTGATTGATTTTGGAAAATTGTGAGAACATGCCTTGGCAAAACTTTGGCCACCTTACATTCATAACAGTCCTGCCTTAGCTTTGTGCCTTATTATGCAAAAATACAATTAATAAAAATTAATACTAAGTTAATGTATTTTCCCCCTATTTTTTCTGGTTTAAATTCATGGTAGAAATAAATAAAGTAATATCCAATATTAAGGATATCTTAAGGTAAGACACTGAGTCACTCATCATTCATGACATCATAATGTTGAGAACAAAAGACTGCAGTCTACAGGAAGGTAAATTTTTTTGCTGCATGTAAGAATAAGCCAGTCTTACACACAGGACATGCAGTGGAATATTATTTCAAATTAACATGATGAATTAGCAGTATATTGCTTGATCTTTATGCTAGCTAGGTCAATCTGGAGTGACCATTTTATGAGATCTTCAAAGAAACCTTATCAGTGAGTGACTGTTATTGCATAGTTGAATTCAATTTAGCTCCATTGTGAGTTTTTCTAAATTTATGTTTACAAATTATTTAATTATGATAACAAATGGACTGCGGCCAACAAGAATGTGAATTTTTGAAAAGGTGCATATCTTCTAGTCTTCTTGCTTTCTGAGACTTCATGATAAAGCAATGAAGAGTCAATATTGGTATGGTTTGAATATATTGTATTATGAAATCTCACTTGCTATATATAAGCTTTTGAATGAACTATACAAACAAGATCTTTATGCTGGCTAGGTCAATTTGGAGTGACCATTTTATGAGATTCTTAAAGAAACCTTATCAGTGAGTGACTGTTATTGCATAGTTGAATTCAATTTAGCTCCATTGCGAGTTTTTCTAAATTTATGTTTACAAATTATTTAATTATGAGAACAAATGATGGACTGCGGCCAACAAGAATGTGAATTTTTGAAAAGGTGTATATCTTCTAGTCTTCTTGCTTTCTGATACTTCAAGATAAAGCAATGAAGAGTTAATATTGGTATGGTTTGAATATATTGTATTATGGAATCTCACTTGCTATATATAAGCTTTTGAATGAACTATGCAAACAAGATCTTTATGCTGGCTAGGTCAATTTGGAGTGACCATTTTATGAGATTTTTAAAGAAACCTTATCAGTGAGTGACTGTTATTGCATAGTTGAATTCAATTTATAGCTCCATTGCGAGTTTTTCTAAATTTATGTTTACAAATTATTTAATTATGATAACAAATGGACTGCGGCCAACAAGAATGTGAATTTTTGAAAAGGTGCATATCTTCTAGTCTTCTTGCTTTCTGAGACTTCATGATAAAGCAACGAAGAGTCAATATTGGTATGGTTTGAATATATTGTATTATGAAATCTCACTTGCTATATATAAGCTTTTGAATGAACTATACAAACAAGATCTTTATGCTGGCTAGGTCAATTTGGAGTGACCATTTTATGAGATTCTTAAAGAAACCTTATCAGTGAGTGACTGTTATTGCATAGTTGAATTCAATTTAGCTCCATTGCGAGTTTTTCTAAATTTATGTTTACAAATTATTTAATTACGAGAACAAATGATGGACTGCGGCCAACAAGATTGTGAATTTTTGAAATGGTGTATATCTTCTAGTCTTCTTGCTTTCTGATACTTCATGATAAAGCAACGAAGAGTCAATATTGGTATGGTTTGAATATATTGTATTATGGAATCTCACTTGCTATATATAAGCTTTTGAATGAACTATACAAACAAGATCTTTATGCTGGCTATAGGTCAATTTGGAGCGACCATTTTATCAGATCTTTAAAGAAAACTTGTCTGTGAGTGACTGTTAAAGTTGAATTCAATTTATCTGCGTGAGGTTTGCTAAATTTATGTTGAAACGGAGAATTTTTTTAATTATGAGAACAAATGGACTGCAGCCAACAGGAATATAAATTTTTGTAAAGGTTTATATCTTCAAGTCTTCTTGCTTTCTGATACTTCATGATAAAACAATGAAGAGTCTATATCGCTATGGTTTGAATCAATTTTCTAAGCATGACGAGAACAACCTGCAACCTACAGGATGCAAAATTTATGCACATGCATGTTTTCATACAGTCTTCCTATAAGCCAATTTAATTGAGATGAGGAGTTTATATATTGATTTGGTATGAGTATGTTGTATTAAATGTTAGGTACTTTATATTAGGTCTAGTATGCATGACCGTCAATCATACACCTATATATCTTCATATTTTATGATTGCATGTGATCCTCATGGCTGCATTATATATTTGCTATACTGTATGTTTGCATTTTTGCAATGTTTCGCTTAGATTTTGGTAACCTAAAGTTATAAAACTTGCAACTGACCGATTACAATGGTAACAATGACAATGTCAATGGTATTGACAATCTCATGTTAAAGCATGCTATCACTTGTTATTTTCTGACAATGTGCGCTACATATCAAATGTTTTCATAAGTAATATTTATAACCTCCATTTTTAATAAAATTGTACAAAATTTCCCTGCAAGCAAGTTGTTCATTCTGCAGTGTGTCCCAGTGGTTTCCACTTCGACCTATGCTAAGATCTTCTATTCAAATTGACTAGAATAAATAATCCTCATCAAAAGTCCAAGTACAGTAGTGTACATGATTGTACTTCATCGTACGAAATGAAGCATACTGTAGCTAACTGTGCAAGTTTGCAACAAATGAATTCAGGTGTAGTTTGTGAACAGTGTGGTTCCATATTCATCTGGTATGGTGTAAACGTAGTCTGAGTTTAACATTTTGGTTCAATTCCGTTCTCTGAAACATTGTCAAAATAAGCAATGAAACAAAACACCGCGTCACAGGTTTACAATCCTGATCAAGGTGGCTCCCTACAATTTTTGAAATATGACAAAATCGTGATTTAGATTTGATTTTTAATTTTTTGAAGAGATGTTTCTTTTCAGAAGACAAAAATTGTACCACATATATTGAGCAATCGTCCAAAAGTTGAAAATTGTTTACAAAAATGATGTCGTTACCGTTGTTATACAGTATATGGTAACAATGACGTTTATGGCCGACATTTTACCTTTTAACACATTTTACTCGAAAAAAAGTAAACTTGAGTAAAGTACATTATAATGTGGTTTTATTAAGATTTAATTGTTTTTGTAAAGGCAACTAAAGGCATATCATGATTAAAGATGTATTTAAACAAGTATTAAATGTCGATAAAGTGCGAACATACCTTTAATGCCTTTAAACACAATTTTATACATTTAAACATACCTTTAACAGATTTAACCTAATGTGTAAAGGTCAAAAAAGGTATGGATTTCTTTAATCAACTTTAAAGATCACATATAAACTTGAGTAAAGTATGATGTGGCTTTATCAAGCTTTAATTGTTTTTGTAAAGGTAACTAAAGGCATATCATGATTAAAGATGTATTTAAACAAGTATTAAATGTCGATAAAGATCGAACACACCTTTAATGCCTTTAAACACAGTTGTATACGTTTAAAGATACCTTTAGCAGATTTACCCAATCTGTAAAGGTCAGAAAAGGTATGGATTTCGTCCTGTGTATTAGTTAAACTATGCATACATATGCTGCAAGTAGCTGCAGCAACACATACTTGCCGACTGGAACTTCTCCCGCTAAATATGTCCCTTCCAGTTACACATCCTTACAGGGCCTTTGCTAATAATCACTTTGAAAATCATGCAGACCTTTATCATTTAATCTATGACAAACTGCAAAGGATGAAGATATTACCCATATTTTCCTGCAACTTATCCAATATATAGTTCATTAAATATGCCTTCGTCCATTTAGTACTACTAAATTGTAAATTTCAACATACTAAAACGCTGGTTTCTGACCATCAGAATTCTGTCAAATCTTCCCCAAAGTCCAGGAAATGGCACTTCAGAGACTTTACATTTAAAAATTTCCTCGGGCCTTCGGCCCTCGCTTTCAGCCCCCCCCCCCCAATCGAAAAGAGCTTCCTATGGCCCTGCCTTAAAAGAGGCCCTGAACCAAATGTTATATATCTCATAGCAATATGTATTATTAAAAGCAATGCATGAAGCTAGAAAACTCAACAAAAAAGATCCATACTCCCCTCACAGAGGAAATTTCTGCCGTCCGGAGGGGAGAAAAAATTGTTTCTGATAACAGTAAATGTATTAGGACATCCGAAGGGGGTAGGGGGGTTAACTTCCTATTTCCTCTGTGGGGGTGGTATGGATGTTTTCTGGAATGACCCAAATTAGTATAAGCTATTGAAAAAAAAATGCTGCAAAAGAGTGGAAAAAAAAATCATACATGGTGATGGGATAGAAAAAAACTTGCACATAATGATCCCAGAAAAAAACTCCCTGCCAGCAGTAAATCACCCCCTCCCCCCCCTCAAAAGTTAAATGGTCAGCCCCTCAAGTCATTTGTTTCTTAATAGTTTTGTCTTTTTACTGTAAAATGACTAAAGTAAAAGTACTGTTACTGTAAAATTACTAAAAGTAAAAGTTTGTAAGCAGTACTGTAGTGTATTTTAATGCAATTGTAATGCGTGTAGGTGTGTCAAGGCAGCAGTCAGTCTCATAAAATATACATATTATCCTGTTTATTAATTGATCTGTATTATTGAGGGCAGAACATATATTAACAATGTCACAATTTCTTGAAACCTAAAAGCCTGATTTACTCCATGAAGAAAAGACAAAGCTAAAATGATCTCAGCAGGTTACAGTATTCAGTCAACAAACAATGTTTTATAACCAATACATTTTTTTATGATTAGGCTGATAGATTTCACACAGATCCTATAATACTAGAGACCATTTACAATTAAATTGTTTTTACACAATGCAATATAATGCATATCTAGACATGCAACTGAAAGTAACTGTTTGCAGCATTGTTCCATCTTCACTTTATACTGTCTCTATAGGATCTAAAAAGCACAGAAATGAGATACCATTATTTTACAACTTTCAATTTCTTTCAAATTTATTAATTTTAATCTGCTTCTTTGCAATAAAACACCATTGAGGTCTTCTCAGAAGAGTGATAATTAATCATGACTATGACTTTAATATTAAGGAACATATTACACAAGCAGGGATGGGATGGTATATATTCTCACAAGGCATTGCGTTTAAGCACCCACCATTAACATAAATAAGATCACTACAACGCACCTGCTATTCTTTCTACCATCCTGAATCATTTGTTCCTTTAACAAATCCCACAAGCGACATAATTTGTTTGCGTTGATTAGGTTGATAGAAACAAATATGAGTCTTGTCCATATAAAATTCACCATTTCCAAAACAATAAAGTTCATGACCAATTTCTCATGTGTTAACTTATGGTATAATTCACCGATCTCTATCAGAAATTCCCATTTGAAAGGTGTTGTCACGACTGTATTCATGATTCATCTCAGTCGCACTCAGAAACGTCGTCAAAAATATAGACACGTTTCTTTACGATTGAGTTCATTTGAATGTAAAAGAGGTCCCCAACATTCTTGAACATGTGCTTTTGGTTAAAATACCATATTTGACTTGATTTGTTCCTCTATTGCGAGATAACAGAACAAAACAGTTGAAAATACCGTATTAATCACAATAGCTCACTCCTCAAGGTGGTCACAGTAAGATGGCGGCCGCGCGCGACTTCCGGCTTCAATTTCTCAGGGCGCTGTAAAACACGGGCGGTGAAACGGCTATGGCGCCCCTGATCTATGTGTGATGCAGGTCCCCCCGCATATTTTCATTTTTATTCGAATTCGATGTGGTTTGATCAGGCATGCATGTTTGTTTTGACTTCTTTTTAAAATTACTACGTAAAAAGGTACAATTCAAGCTGAATTCACAATGGATTTGGGATCTGTGCTATTACTATAGACAAAATCTTTTTTCCGGATTCTTAATCACGGCTGATTATATGGGGAATGTTGTAGTGTGATATAAGTCTGGGATCTCACTCACGAGGATCGATTGTTTTTGCAAAACAACTTCGTTCGTTTGTAAGATGAAAAAAAGACGAAGAAAAAGTTATTTAAACGGCTGTTGTTGTAAAACCTGCAACTGGAATGTGTGTTTGGAAATCAGGTATGTTCAATCACATGTATTTTTGTCAAGTTCCACCAGATGAAGCGCTATAAATTGATAAAAACAGCAAGTTCTTTTTTTCAAGCGATTGTTGTCGCAGTTTTACAAGCGCGGAAAATTTTTAACTTTTAAATATTTCATGCACAATATATGAAACCTATTTTTATTTTGATGTTTTTGTATAATTTAAGTACCTAGTTTTCTGAAAATCACCAAATGAGAATGGGCTTTTTTAATTTTTAAACATTTTTTGGCCTTGTTTTTGACATGTGCATGCCAAATCTACACATGAAATACAAGCAAGCGATAGTTTGTTGTCGCAGTTTT